GTTTCAAAAGTAAATTATTCTTAAATGTTACAACTTGAACTGTAGAATGTCTTGCTCATAGACATCCTACGGCTTTTGTTGGATGGCATTCATACTGTAGTCTTAGCATTAAATAGGAATAAATAGAACACCCTCAGGGGGGCTATGTGAATATGATGGGGCTTCTCTTAGAAACTTTAGCACCAGAGCAAATTTCATGCCGTGGTCTCCAAAAACATTGAGGAGAATGTCTGCTCTAGCTTTCTCTGCAGAGTATTTTGAATTTTAATCATTTCAGTCATTTTGTGGCCTAATATGTAATCTGCCCTGGAGAATGTTCTGTGTACATTGGAGAAGAATGTGTATTTTGTGTATTTTGGATGGAATGTTCTGTATATATCTACCAAGTCCATCTGGTCTAATGTGTCATTTAAGGCCAATGCTTCCTTATTGATCTTCTGTGTGGATTATCTATCCATTGGTGTAAGTGGAGTGGTAAAGCCTCATACTATTATTGTGTTGCTATCTATTTCTCTTTTATGTCTGTTAATAATTGCTTTACATATTTAGGTGCTCCTATGTTGGATGCATAGATATTTACAAGTGTTATATCCTCTTGTTGGGTTGTTCCCTTTATCATTGTGTAGTGTTTTTCTTTGTCTCTTGTTACAATTTTTGTTTTAAAGTCTTTCTTGTCTGATATATTCATTGCTACCTCACCTTGGCCATTTGCATGGAGTATCTTTTTCCACCCCTTGAATTCCAGTTTGTGTGTGTCTTTAGGTCTGAAGAGTGTCTCTTGTATGCAGCATATATATGAGTGTTGTTTTTTTAATCCAGTCAGCCACCCTGTGTCTTTTGATTGACATATAGTCCATTGACATTTAAAGTAGCTATTGGTAAGAATGTGCTTACTGCCATTTTGTTACCTTTTTTCTGGGTGTTTTAGTAGTTCTTCTCTTTTTCTTTCATCTCTTGTTCTCTTCCCCTGTGGTTTGATGGCTTTCTTTAGTAGTATGTTTGTGTTCCTTTCTCTTAATTTTTTGTGTATTTATTATAGGTTTCTGGTTTGTGATTACCATGAGGTTCATATATAATAACTTTTATATATAGCAATCTATATTAAGTTGATGGTCTCTGAAGTTTGACCTCTACTCTTTTACTCCCTTCCTCCCATATTTTATGTTTTGATATACTTAACCTGTTTTTTGTGCATGTGTATCTGTTACTCTCTTATCATGGAAATAGATAATCTTAGTAATACTGTCTTTTGACCTTCATATTGGTTTCATAGGTCATTGATCTGCTACCTTTACTGTATGTTTGTCTTTACCAGTGATTTTATTGTTTTGTTATGGGTTTTTTTTGTGATAATTTTCTTATTCCTATTTGTGGTCTTGTCTTTTCCACTTAAATAAGTCCCTTTAGCATTTCTTTTAAGGCTAGTTTATTGGTGATAAACTCCTTTCATTTTTGCTTGTCTGGGAAATTCTTTCTCTCTCCTTCCATTCTGAATGATAACCTTGCTGGGTAGAGTATTCTTGGCTGTAGGTTTTTTCCTTTCAGCACTTTAAATATATCATGCCAATCCCTTCTAGCCTGTAAGGTTTCTACTGAGAAGTCAGCTGATAGCTTTATGGCGTATCCTTTTATGTAATTTGTTGCCTTTCTCTTGTGGCTTTTAGGATTCTCTCTTTATTTTTAATTGTTGACATTTTAAACATAATGTGTCTTGGTGTGGGCTTCTTTGGGTTCATCTTGTTTGGTGCTCTGTGTGCTTCTTGTACGTGGATGCCTGTTTCCTTCCTTAGGTTAGGCAAGTTTTCAGCTATTATTTCTTCTAAGAGGTTTCCTGCCCCTTTGTCTCTCTCTTCTCCTTCAGGGTCACCTATACTATGGATGTTAGTGAGCTTGATGTTATCTCAGAGGTCCCTTAGACTGTTGTTGTTCTTTTTAATTCTTTTTTCTGTTCAGCTTGGGTGATTTCCTCTAGTCTTTCATCCAGCTCGCTGATCCCTTCTTCTGTGTCATCTACTCTGTTGATTCCTTCTAGTGAATTTTTCATTTCCATTACTGTATTCTTCAGTTCTAATTGGTTCTTTTTTATATTTTCCAATTCTTCATTGAAATCCTCACTGAGTTCATCCATTCTTCTCCCAAGATCCATGAGCATCTGTATGACTATTAGTTTGTCCTCTTTATCAGGTAGATTGTTTATCTCTGTTTCGTTTAGTTCTTTTTCTGAGGATTTGTCCTGTTGCCTTATTTGGAACATATTCCTTTGTCTCCTCATTTTGCCTCTTTTTCTGTACTTATGTGTATGTATTTGGTAAATCAACTATGTCTCCTGAATTTGGAGAAATGGCCTTATGTAAGAGATTCCTTATGAGGCCCAACAGTGTGCTTACCTCTTGTCACCAGTTCCAAATGTTCCAGTAGTGTCCCCTATGTGGGCTCTGTGTGTCCTTCTCTTGTGGTAGGGTTGCTCTTACTGTGGGTGCATGATGAAGCTAGGCTGTCCCCTTGGCCAGCTGGTTGTAATGGTCAATTGCCACAGTCCCTTCAGTCACTTTATCAGGCATGGGGAGTCCCAGCACAGTTGGCTGCAAGGTCTAATAGTACATTCATATTGCAGTTTTTCTGTTAAGTGAGTAGGGCCTCAGTGTGACTGGTTGCTAGGCTCAGGGCTTACAATTGGTGTAGGCCTCTGGCCTGCAAGGCTGTTGTTGGGCTCTCTCAGTAGTGCAGCTGGGTGGGGCCAGCCCCAGGCATGGCCGCATACAATTGTTTTAGGCATTGGGAGGTGGGGCTTTCCCTATATGGCTGTTTGAGAAGCACAAGTCTGCTGCAGCTGACAAGCCCCACTGCCCACAGGTCCACACACCCTATCAGTGCAGTCCTGCCCCATGTGCACCCCTCAGCCCACTGAAGTGGACCCACTCACTCCACTGCAGAGGCCCTACACACCCCAGCTATGCCTGAGGGCTTGCTGTTGGGTGGGGCCTGTCCCTGGTGCAGGCTGCCTGCCCTGGCTAGATTAAATCAGTGCTCTAGTGGGTGGGGCAGACCCCTGCGCTAACAGGCCAGGGGAAGAAATCCAGTGGCATCTGCCAGCGTCTGTGTCAGCACCCTGTACTAGGTCACAATAATGGTTGCTGCCATGTCTCAGTCCCTGAGGAGGTGGTCCCAGCCACCTCCTGCCTTGCTGAGATGCACCCAGAGCCCACCCAGTGAGTCTCTTTCACCAAAGGACTGTGCACCTTTGTGGTGATTTTAGGTTGCTTTCTGAAATGGGTAAATTTGTGTGTGGGCCCTTGAAGAGCAGGCTTTTTTTTCCCTTATGTCCCATAGCTTTTCTGGGGGGTTTCCCCATTGTTGATAGTCAACAAAGCCAGATATTATGACAGACATGTCAGATGTACTGAGTTCAAAGCTGCTTATTGTGGCGAAGCTCTCCCACTCAGATCCCCTGCTACTCCAGGGAAGGCTTCGTGCCTTAAGATTTCTCCTGGCCGTGAAGCACTGTGGCTAGAGTGTGGCTTTTTTCTCTCTAGAAAGGAATTTATGCGTCTTCCACTTCAGTCAACACTGTCCCTTATTGTGGGGCTTCTTTTTATCCAGTTTCCAGTTCCCTCTCAGGGGTAGTTGTTCCCAGAGTAGTTATAAACTTGTTGTGTCCGTGGCAGGAGGTGAGTTCACAGTCCGCCTACACCGCCGTCTTCCAAGCAGTCCTCCAGGAGCTGAGTCTAACGATTTCAGTTAGACTTCTCAAAACTGTCTCCATCATTTTAACTCAGTGCAGCAAGCATAGACTCCTCTTTCTTAACACAAGAAGGAGAAATGTATCTTGTAGTATTCCCAGTGGGCCTCTCTGAGATTCTGCATTGAGGAGAACCCATAGTCCTGTTACGTTCTGCACAATAAAATGACACCTCATCGATCTGCAGGTGACTCCCAGGTTTCCAAAGAATGGAAGAGGAAAAGGAAAAGTGCTTTCATATAATCAGGGAGTCTTTCCTTGGTCTTTCGTTGTCGTCCCCAACACGCCATGGGGAGGTGGAGAGCCGCAGCTTGGTGGTGGCGGGAAAGTGAAATCGTAGTTTACTCTTAGAGTGCCCTGTGTTCCGTGAGGTCAACTTTCATAGTCAGGACTAACAGAAGGGAATGTATTGTATTATTGAGTAATGAGATATTGGCTATTTCAGAGTCTTCTTTTCATGTTCTTTTGTTTTTTACTAATTCCTCTTTTTTTTTTCCTGAAAAGTAGTTTATAATGATATCTGTGATCTTTTTTCTTGTTTGAAACAACCACACTTGGAATTGACTCACCATCAGCCATAGCTCCTGGCTGTATAATCTGTGCTTCTCCTCGAGGCGGCCCTTTAGTCCGTGGTAATACAGGAGCCGTGGCAGTCTCCTGGGCTCTCTGGTAGAATCTGCCCCTGTGGGGCGCGCGAGGAAGGAGTGTGGACTCTAGCCCAGAAGACTCAGATTCAGGAGATGCCCACATCCTGAGACAAGCCGATGTAAGAGGAAACCCATCAAAACAGGAAATTAGAAGCTTCCCAACCATTGCCAAAAACAGATACAGAAGTTTCATAAAATTGTTTGAGTGCAGATCAGAATCTCAGGCAGCGGGGCCGGCCCAGTGGCACAGCGGTTAAGTGCACGCATTCTGCTGCTCAGTGGCCCAGGGTTCGCCGGCTCGTATCCCGGGTGTGGACATGGCACCGCTTGGCAAGCCGTGCTGTGGTAGGCATCCCACTTATAAAGTAGAGGAAGATGGGCATGGATGTTAGCTCAGGGCCAGTCTTCCTCAGCAAAAAGAGGAGGATTGGCAGTAGTTAGCTCAGGGCTAATCTTCCTCAAAAAAAGGGAATCTCAGGCAGCCTCCTGTGCTTTTCCCCACTCTGAGCCCTCCCTCACGAAGCCGGGTGGGGCTGAGAGTGTGATATTGTCTTCATTGTTGTCTGTGAGGAAGTCTTAGCAGTGGGGTTAATTCAGACTCAAAAATCTTTTAGCTCTAACACTCCAAGAAAGGCTGTGTTTGCTGGAAGCATGCAGTTGCTGGCCGGAGTGAAGCTGTGCACGGGAAGGACCTTAACCAACCACCCGCACTACGAAGACAACAGCCTGAGAGAGCGGACCAGAGCGGTGAGGCCCGCCTGTGCCTTTCCTCCCTCTTGTGCCCCAGCAGTGCGCTTCCCTTGTTTGGTAAAGTGGGGCTTGTGCTGCTTGTAGCCGATGAGGGACGGCAGAACTTTGAGGCACTGCCTCTCCTGAGTCTAGACTTTGGCCTGCCCCACGTCCGTTAAAGGTGTGCTGTTCGGGCCGTACGTTCCTCTCGGTCAAAAGAATTACTGAGGAAAAAACACCTTGAGACGTACAGAAAAGGGCATTTGAGAACAAAGCCCTCAGAGCTTTTGAACCGGAGAGAGAAGGAAAAGGAGTAGAGGCATAGTGGCCACATTTGTGTGTGTGTGTGTGTGTAGGTAATACAGCCAGGTAGTTCAAAGTTCAGAACATACGAAAGGGAACATCCCAGCCCTGTCTCCAGCTGCTGGTGACCCTCCCAGGAGACAAGTGTTACCAGTTTCTGGTGTGTGCTTCCACGGGTAGTCTGTGCATATACAGCTGTCTATATACACACATATTCCTATCATTTTCCCTCTTTTTTACAAAAGAAGTAACATACTACATCTTGCCCCTTTTTTGGGCTCTTAAGATATTTCAGAGATCATTCCCTATCAGTATATTAATTGCTTCCTTGTTATTTTTAAAGCTGCGTGATATTTTGTTATGTGGATATAGCATATTTTATTTGGTTCAATATTTATTTAGGTTGTTTCCCTGTCTTTTGCAAATATGTAAACAATGCTCCAAATAATGAACTTTTATATGCATCGCTTGCGCAGACACAGGTGTGTGTATGTGCATCCGATTCTCACAGGTGGAGTTGCTGGGCCAGGAGGTGTGGGCGTTTGTGACTGAGATGGATGATACTGTATTACCGAGTCACCCTCCCTGCTGATTATGGCAGTTTACCTTCTAGCCAACACTGCGCAAGAGTGCCTGTTTCCCTTAGTCCTCACCAGCAGTAGTTTCAAACTTTTTAATGTTTTCTATCAGTCCTTTCTTAATCCTGGTAGCTGGAAAACTTGTTGAAAACTCTTGTTTGGGGGTGAGATTTTTAACTAGCTTAAAAGCAAATGATTTTTACTAAATCCCCTATTTTTATGAGAATTGTCTGAACTTAGAATCCTGCTAAAAGGGGAATTTTTCGTTTGGCCCAAGTGTTCCAGATAGCCCCGAGTTCAGCCCAGAGTGGGCTATACTGCTTAGACACAAGAGACGCAGAAAAGACGTGTCAGGCGCATGGGGAGCCCTCAGTGCTCCACTGTCTCCAAGATCCTGTCGCTGTCTAGGTACTGACTTTTATGCCCTGAAAGCTGACATCCTGAAGGGCCTGGTGCTAGACTGTAGGTGGGATGACCTCGCAGTTTTAGCAGTGGAAGCAGCTAACCTCCCTGGCACTTCACCCATTTGTGCAGACGCACTGACTTAGGTTCTCGGAACCCAGTCTCTTAGTCAGAAACATATCATTAGAAGTCAGTGGGCAGCAAAGGAAGCCGCAGCTCTCTTCATTACCGCCCCCCCTGCACACACACACACACACGCAACGCACATCCTTTTCCCAGTGCCAAGTCCCAAAAGATAGGCCGCTTCCCGTCTGTGTCTTCACTTCGTGTGTGTGATGCTGCTGACAAATGGGAAGGCAGTGCCTCCTGTTGAACTGCCGCTGGGGGCTTCAAGTTGCTCTTCCTCCGGGAGGGATGAGAGAGCGACAAGTGTAGGGTCTCCTTCTGGTCAAGCAGGTGCAGCATAGCAGCGGTAAAGCAATGAGTGCTGCCCAGCCTGGGACCAGGGACCCTGTGGGGGGCCTTTTCCCTGACTGCTGTTATCAGAAGCTGGGTCTCCTGACAAGTATGTGTGCCCCCAAATGACCATCACCCCAATGGACCCTTTTAGTCTAAAGGTGGAGACTGTGTCTTACTTACTCAGCTGTGTGGTTTACCTCGGGAAAGCGGTCGTAGAATTGGCCTCTGCTGAGGAATATACTCGTAACTTGAAGTAAGACATTCTAAGTCCGCCTCTCTTTGGTGTCTGAGTCCAAGTGCATCAGCAGGACTCCCTCCCCCTCTTCCCAAGGCTGAGGGATACACTGTTCTTTTGAGATGTCCCCCGCACTCCAGAGCTGCAGGGGGGGCCTGCAGCAGGGGCCTGCGTGGAAGAGCGAGGGGAGCTGGCGTCGAGGTCTCAGGTTCAACCCCTGTGGGAGGTTACATCCTTAGCTCTTCCTTGGCTCACTTCCTGGCATTGACCAGTGTTTTTGTCTTATTTTGAAGGTTTATCAGATATACGCGAAGAGGTCTGCAGAGGAAGTGCACGCCCTCCTGACGTCCTTTGGCACCGACTACGTAATCCTGGAAGACAGCATCTGCCACGAGCGAAGGCACCGCCGGGGCTGCCGTCTGCGGGACCTGCTGGACATTGCCAATGGACACGTAAGCTCGCCATCTCGCCACGTGAGGGGAGATTCCACTTGGAATCCTAAGCGATGTAAATATTTGTCTACTTTATTATAGAGTTATGTTACAAATCAAGCATTCCTTTTTCTCTTGCGTTCTGCAGAACTCCCTCCCCAGCACGTTAGTGACTGCCACGGGCCGGGCGAAGGAAGGTCGACGGGAGCTCCAGGTCTCCCACTCCCTGTCAAACAGCAGCTCTGGCTTTAGCTGCTTTGAATCACGAGGCTCCACATAAAATTTATTTTTTAAGGATTTTGCTGCTAAAATCAAAAGCAAAGCCTCAACCTTTTTTAAATTACAATTTCCTTTTTTTTTTTTTTTTTCTTGCAGGGAAAGATTCGCCCTAAGCTAACATCTATTGCCAATCATCCTGGGTTTTTTTCCTCCCCAAAGCCCCAGTGCATGGTTGTTTATCCTACTTGTGAGTCCTTCTAGTTCTTCTATGTGAGCCATGGCTGCAGCGTGGCAACTGACAGACAGGTGGTGTGGTTCCATGACCAAGGAAACGAGCCTGGGCCACTGAGGTGGAGCGCACAGAACTTTAACTACTAGGCCATCAGGGCTGGCTCCAAACCTCAGCCTTTAAGACCACTGCTCCAAAGCACCATTTGGGCTCGGCATGGACTGCTGTGCTGGCAGTGCCAGTCCCCTCCCGGCCATGGTGGTGGGCTCCTGCTGCTCTGCCATTCCCTCTTGGTGGGTGGCCCCTTTGTCCCCTGGCACACTTCCAGAGATTGCTTTCTGTGACCAAGTATGCTCTCCAGCGCTCTCTCTCCTTTCTCCCTTCCGAGGAAGATGCTCTTGGAGACCTAACAGGCTCTCAGATAGAGCAGGCAGGTGGTGCTCACCCTGCAGAGATGGTGTGTGCTGCTCTTGTTGGCATACAAGACGACAGAGAGTTATAAATGAGTTGGAAAAAAGGGTAAACCCAGCCTAAATGTGAAAACACTTGACTATACAGAATTTGAGATTCAGAACACTTACGATGTCCTCTCTTAGCAAATTTTAAGTATACGCTATATGTGTTACGACACTTATTTGCCGTGGACAAAAATCTGGATCTCATACTCTTTTTTTCCTGCAGCTTTATTGAGGCATAACTGGCAAATAAAATCGTATACATTTCAGGTGTACCACCGACGGTTTCATGTATACATACATGCTGAAATGAGTACCACCACCAAGCTAACTAACACATCTGTGTGGCCAAAGGGACAACACTGCAGTTACAGGGGAATTAGTTCTGGGGACGTATGTACAACGTGGTGACTACCGTTAATAACTGGCTCGAATTCTGAGGAGACGCGAGCCAAAGGCAGCATGCGTTTACAGTCTGCTCCACATGTGAGTGTTTCAGACGAGGCCGTCTGATGAGTTGGCGAGTCTTCTCTGGTCGTCGTAATCCTTCTCTGTGTTTGATTTCTCTGAGAGAAGTGTAGTGCGTTTCTAAACCCCAGGAGATCTGCGTTCTAGTTGCAGCTTTGCCAATAAGGCGATCACTGTGTGGCATGAACTCCCCCTCAGCCTGGGTTACAATTCTCGGGGGAAGGATAGACTCCCCATCTGCAGGTAGCCATCGACACTGAAATGCTAGAATTTAGGTTCACTAACGCATCGTTCTTAAAAAGCCCTATCCCTTTTCCTACTTCCATTGTCTCTTATAATTGATTTTTTTGCCCCCAAATGGTATTCGGTTCTTTTTTGTCTTTAGATGATGGATGGCCCAGGAGAGAATGATCCTGATTTGAAACTTGCCGGCCACCCTCGCTTCTGTGAAGAGATAAAAAGAAACCTGCCTCCCTACACAGCATACTTCACGAGAGTGTTTCAGAACAAAACGTTCCACGTTTACAGGCTGTCCAGAAGCAAGTGACAGAGCTTTCTGTGCAGTCTCCATTCTGATACCTGAAACTCCGTCGTAATGGAACTCAGCAGGTGACATTTTAGCCGTGGTTAGGTGGCTGAACCTTAACGCTGTGATGCAGTGAGTTCTACAGAGGTTTACCCCAGTGTTAGTACCCTTGGAAGCAGCTTATACAAGCTAAGTCTTTCTCGTCTTGTCTCATGAATGTTCTTTAGCCTGAATGTTCTCAGCTTTCTAAGAGTGATCTGTGATTTTGTGTTGGGGGGAACAGTAAGTGTTCTGTAGGTAGTCTGAACAGCCACGTATCATGTTGGAAATCCAGAGCCTGTTCAGGACTTGAAATACTTTTAATTTTCAGTTGACGTAAGACAGCTATGGTTGAATCTTATTGAGGGGATGCATAATTAAATTATTTAATATTATTTCACTAATGAAGACCATGTGCTGGCTTTTTTTAAAAAAAAGCTTTTTATTGTCCTGTTTCACCTAAAAATTTTATAATATTTTCCAAGTGTCACACTTTTAATATTTCAAAAAATCATGTCAGGTCTTTGTATGTATCTAAAACTTTTTGTTGTGCTCTGTCTGAACTGTAACATGTAGTACTTCAGTAGTATGTGTCATGTATTGTGTGTGTGTGTGTGTACATGTGCATGTGCGGGCATGTTTTATTGCTAGACACAGAAAAATGTTACAAGTTCCATACTGTAAGTCCTTAAAGGAACAGAAATGTTATGCAGCCAAGTAGAATTTGTTACTGTTTAGTATTATTTTAAAACCTATTGATACTATTTAACCTATCCTGCAAGTAAGAAAATTTTTCTTTATTTCTTAACTCATTTAAATTTACTGGGTTTGCAGAATTTTGTAAACTTTTTGTTTTTAGCCTTTGTATTTTTTACAGCCTAGAACCTTGTAAAGTCTGAATATTTTTTAAATGTTGTATCTTAACTAATTCACTAATACACTATTTTTGGCAGAGAGCATTTTCATACCAAGTTTGATTTGTGGTCTCCAGTCTTCCTGTGAGGGCCCTGGTGGCGTCATTCTTTTCCTTACTAAACAGTAACCAAGTGCCTCTGGGTCATGCTGATGTGTAAACAACAAAGAAGGTTGTGTGTACCTCCTCAAAAATTTTTGATAATTGCTTTTATAATTAATTTCTAATGATGGGAACATGTAAAAGTTGCTGATAAGAGCATATTGTGCATTTAATTAAATCAAGATGGCTAATGAAATTGACTTCCTCCCCTCTTCTTGCCAGTTGGAAATGATTTAAATGTTTCTCCTTGAAGTTGTATTGAAGTAAATTACCATAGGCATCAAGATGGATATATCACATGTTCAAATGACTTTATATCCAGTTACTACTTAGTAAGCAGTATTCAAAAAGAAATTTTACATTGTCGTGTCATGTTGGACTCAAGGATAGTTGGCTTTTATCAAAACTTATTTGAATGAAAAAATTGACGGTAGCTGGGTTATTAAATTATACAACTGAAACTCCTGAATTATGTCTTTCCTGCATCCCTTAATAAGGTTGGAGACCACTGCAGTTTAGGATCGTATAATAATCAGACATTTTAATCAGCACTAGAACTGTAATGAAGCCAGTCCGACGATGCATGCCTGTTGTTGCTGACAGCATGGGTCAGTACGTCCTCAGCCAGTGCCTTACTCCAAAGGAAAGCAAGCACATGTAAGGTACAACCCGTCAGACTGTGTTGTTTCATTTTTAAAATGCCCTGTTACTTTCTCAGATATACTTCAGTTTATTTGAAATGTTCCTATATGCACTAATCTAAGCATTTGGGTATTTGGAGTCTCAATATACAGGGAAGATGTAGTTAAATTTTGATTCTTTTCCTGACCGCATTGATGGGATCCAGTAACCATTTTTCATGTTTAGGTGCCATTGTTGCCAAAACACTGAGTGTTCAGTCTTTAGTGAAAAATATAAAGTGCCAAAAAAATCTTGCAAGACAGAATCCACGCATACTTTCCAAGACACTGTGACCATGTATAGTAGACATTTTTATTTCCTAATGACCAAATCTCTCAGTGAGTCATGTTAAATATTTTTATTACTCGTCAGTATTCTCTCTTATGACCTTCTCATTGGAGTACACGGAAGGAAGGAGGGAAAGCGACTGACTCCTGGCTCTCTACCAAGCCAAAGCAAGGGACTGCGGCCTCAGCTCCCGCCACACAGATCACAGCTCTTGGGGGCTGTATTCAGATTCGGTGATAGCCTCAAATTGTGGCTGTTGTTGATGGATAGAATAACCACTTGATTTTGCTTCCGAGCTGGCATTCAGAAGAACCTCGAAGTACAATAAGTGCTCTTAATTAGCCTCTGCTTCCGTGACTCCTCAGAGCCCTTGGCAGTCTCCATCCCTCTTGTAAGCTGACTGTCTGCCTAGCACACTGGGGCTGCTCCCTGCTGTTCTCACAAGCTTCTGCCCCCTCCCGTGAGTGCTGTGCCCCTACCAGATTTCTCTGTGCCAGTTCCACTTCTGACTGTAAGTACACAATTCAACACACACCTAGGAAATGTGGCTGTAAAAAGAAAGGGTTATTTCTGCCAAGATTAACTTGAATGTTTTGGTAAGATTTGATAAAGGTCGAGTTGCTAATAAAAATTGCTTTTAATTAGGTGTGGTTGGGGAAATTATAAAATACTAGGAAAACATAAAATTCAGGAAAATTTCTGAGCTTATATTGCTTCATAGATTTATTTAAGTATTCATTCCACCTTTAAAAAATCTAGACTGATCAGAAGGTCTTAAAATGTACCCAAATCATATTATTGGTATGATTTATTCAAGAATAGAACTACAGTCGTTGGACCCTTGTGCGAAGGAAAGGCCTTGGCTTCACATCAAAAGATGAGCCAACGAATGTACATTACGCATTTAAAGGTAAGGTTCCCTACTGTAACCTGCCTACTCCATTAAATGACCAACTGCTGATACTGATCACAGTGGCTAAGAGAGATTCTACTGCAGTTGAAAGGCTCCAGTCTCTTTTATTACAGACTTAAAAAATAGGGCCTCATTTCAGCTGTGCTAGCCAGAAGCGTAGTTGTTATCTAGGGGTTTGTTATCCCCTCGAAGATGATTTTCCTGACCTCTGTGAGATCACCTAGATAAACGTGTGTTGTGTGGGTGGGTGCCCCCGGGTGGCAAGGACATATGTAGATATCTGGTCTGCATTTTTACTTCACAATTAACTAAAAAAAGGTTTATTCTGATTCCACATAAACTTTGTCTAAGATGTAACAATTTTAGTTCATCTTTGGCCAAAACCTACCTGAATTAACATAGAAATGTTCCATTTTTAAAATTTCATTGAAACCTGAGAATTAATAGGAAGATACTGCAATGTTTTCAGATCATGTATCTTGGTTAATATGCTCCCAAATGCTTTACATATTACAAACTTTTGGCCTAGAAGAAAGTGCTTGTTTGTTCATGGGAAAGAAAACTTAAGACGAAAGAGTGGCTTACTTTCTTGTGGCATTAATTTTCTGTATTTAACATCCTCTGGACTAAAATCTTACAAAGAGCTTTTATAATTTGTTGTACTGAATTGTGTGGAGATTACCTACTAAATAAAGCTCTCTTAAGTTACACAAGATGAGTGTCTTTCATTTCTTTGAAGGTCAGAAATCCAAGGAAGCAGCGTATTGAAGTGTATGAAGTATGTGCCAAATAGAGTGTAGTGTCTGAGGATGGGCGCGGCAGGGTCTTAGTTGGGCTTGCTAATGACGGAGGGGTTCGTCTGTTCCCAGGATTTGGTTTGATAGCTGCTTATCTGCCTCACCTGAATTCAAGGTTGTAGTTTAGATTTCTAAAGAGAAGGCTGCTATCAGCAGAATTTATCCCCAAAGACATAGATGCTGTTTGCTTTGACCTTTGGAATTGTTTTTACCTCTTGATTAAATTCTCAATCTTTAGTAATTCAGGGAGATGGCTCATAGTCCACATTTTTGATAATAGCATCTAGATAACAGGTGTGCTTCAGTGTTAACATTGTTCAAAGCAGGTACTGAAATTCCAAGCAGGAATGGTCGGGGAGACCGGTACAGCTCCTAGTAGAGAAAAACTGGCCGTGGGGTCTCCAGGATCCTGTGCCTGTCAGCACACAGTTAGCTCTACTCGCACTTAAGCTCTTAAGAGCACTCTGCTGGGGGAAGAGTCACAAACAACAGGGATACCTGAGAGATCCAGGGCCTGAGTGAGCTGAGCGTGTGGTGGTCCAACATGGGACACCAGGCACGTGGGGGCGAAAGGCTGTTCCTCTGCCCCTCCTTTGAGGAAAGGTATGAAACTCATCTCAGACCTCAGTTAATTTAATATATAGACGTTGGCCTTATAGCATTGTTTTCCAAAGTGTAGATACTATAGTGTAATATGAAATCAATTTAGTGGGTTGCAGTCAACATTAAAAGATTGAAAGAGACAGAAAAACGTGGGGATGGGGGAGGGGCAGGGCAGGGAGAGAGCGGACAGGCCATGTGGGAAATGTAAGTATAGTTTTGTGAAATGTTTGTTTCAGTTATACATGTAGGTATTAGTGTGGTGGGTGCAGTATAAAATGTATTTCTTACTGGGAGTTATAGTCAGAGTTTGAAAGCCACGTCCTTACAGCAGGGAGGCTCTGGAAGGATGGCAGCTTAAACTTGACTGTCCTTGTCCCCTAACTCTACTTTAGCAGAACCCTTTGAACAGTGATGATATTAAAGAATTGATATACATTTTTAGGTGTGATGTGGACATTGTTATTTTTTAGAGTCCTTATCTTTTAGAAAATAGATGCTGAAATATTCGCAGATGGTATTACATGTACAATAGTCCCCCCTTATGTGCACTTTCACTTTCCTTGGTTTCAGTTACCCACGGTCAGCTACAGTCCAAAAATATTAAATGGAAAATTCTAGAAATAAGCAATTCATAAGTTTTAAATTGTGCACCACTCTGAGTAGCATGATGAACTCTCTCCTGCTCCATCTCAGCCAGAACGTGACTCATCGCTTTGTCCAGTGGATCCACGCTGTGTCATGCCATTAGTCACTTAGTCGTCTCGGTTGTCACACTGACTGTTGGCGGTATCCTAGTACTTGAGGTCAAGTAACTCTTATTCTACTTAATAGTGACCCTAAAGCACAAGAGTAGTGATGCTGGCAATTTGGATGTGCCAAGGAGAAGACGTAAAGTGCTTCCTTCAACTGGAAAGGTGAAAGTTCTCAATAAGGAAAGGAAAAAAATCATATGCTGAGGTTGCTAAGATCTACAGTAGCTTTTATTACGGTATATTGCTAAAATTGTTCTATTTTATTATTGTTAATGTCTTACTGTGCCAAATTTATAAATTAAATTTTATCATAGGTATGTACATATAGGAAAAAACATAGTATATTTATGTAGGGTTCAGTACTATCCATAGTTTCAAGCAAACACTGGGGGTCCTGGAGCATATCCCCTGTGGATAAAGGGGGACCACTGTACAGAGTTTGCATTAAAATAATCTTGTGGGGTGTATAGATGAAACAGGACTGACCATGAGTTGCTATAGTTTAAGCTAGTTTGGAATTCTTTGTAATGAGCAAAGAGAAATTAGAACCAATTAAAATTAACAAATTAAATTAAACCAGAAAACTAGGAAGATTAAAATTTAAAAGATACAAAACTGAAATCAATCAACTAGGGAAATATTAGGAAGGATAAATAAATCCCCCGAAAACAGCTGGATTTTAAAAGCTGGGTCTTTTTTAAAGACTAATGAAATAAACACCTGGTAAACCCAATTAAGGAAAAGGGCAAAAATATACAAGATTTTGGAATGTGAAAGACGTAATCCCGGAATCAAGAAAGGTAAGAAGAATTATATGAAATGATGTATACAATTCTGTGGCAAAAGATAAATTGAAACCCTACAGGAAATGGATGATTTCCTAACAAAATAGGAATTGTCAAAATGACCCAAGGGGCTGGCCCGATGGCACAGCAATTAAGTGCGTACATTCCAATTCGGCAGCCTGGGGTTCACTGGTTCGGATCCTGGGTGTGGACGTGGCACCACTTGGCAAGCCATGCTGTGGCAGGCGTCCCACATATAAAGTAGAGGAAGATGGGCACGGATGTTAGCTCAGGGCTAGTCTTCCTCAGCAAAAAGAGGAGGATTGGCAGCAGATGTTAGCTCAGGGCTAGTCTTCCTCAAAAAAACAAAACAAAACAAAACAAAAAGATGAAAACTTGAAAAGAACCATACAAGATCTGGAAAGAGATTCAGAGGTTGCAAAGGACACTTGAACAACAAAGGCACACAGCCAAATTCTTTCTAACTTTTAGAGAAAGGATGACTCCAAGTTTATTTAATCTGAGCCATAGAAAAATAAGGAAAGTGTCCAAATTTCTTTTAGGAAAATAGTCCAGTTTTATACCAGAACTCAACACAGATAGTGTATTAGTTTTCTAATGCTACATAACAAATTGCCACAAACTAAAGCTTAAAACAACATACATTTCTTATCTCGAAGTTTCCATGGGTCAGGAGTCTGAGCACAGCTTAGCTGGGTCTCACAAACCTTCAATCAAGGTGTCAGCCAGGCTGCTGGCTCCTCTGGAGTTGGAGTCCTCTTCCAAGCTCATACAAGATGGTGGCAGAATTCAGTTAGTTGTGGTTGCAGGACTGAGGCCATTAGCTCCAAAAAGCAACTGACTTGGGACCCGAATTATTTCAACAAAATCCCTTCACCTTTGCCATGTAGCATAACATACTCATGGGAGTGACACCCATCATATTCCCAGGACCTACCCACACTCAAGGAGAGGATGTGTTCACCAGGGTCAGGAATCTGGGGGACCATCTTAGAATTCTGTTTACCACAGATAGGTTAAAAAGAAAATTAGGGTCTGGCCAAAACCGAGTATTTGGCAGCAACTAACACAGGGCTATAAACTTTGAGAGAAGGGAAGCACAGAAGTTGAGTCCCAATCTTACTCTGGCTTTCTCCCTTAGGGTCTTTTCCAAACCATGGCACAGGGAAATGGAGCTCAAGCAGAGAATGGCTCTTACTGAGGACATGGATTGGAGTTCATGGCTGCTAAGGTGTCTGGGATTTGGTAGGAGTTGCAGGGGCACAGCACAGGAGAGGAGAGAGCTGCAGAAAAGAAAACCTGCAAAGTTCCATTTGAGTCCTTGGTCGATTCCTAACCTGCACATGGGCGGCTTAGCAGAGAACATCTGATAAGTGGCAGAGAACTGAACAGAGATCTCAGAGATTACACAGTGCTGAGGGTCCAGCTAGTATGGGTGACCATGGTGAATCCCCCTCTCCAGCCATTCAGTTAAGACCCCAGAAAAGCAATACCCTATCCTAGGAGTAAAGGCTGTTATCCTAACTGCCTGTCAAAAGCAAATGTGAATCCACTGTGAAGGATAATAACCTTATCCATGGCCTCAAATTACCTATATTTTTTATACACAATATCTAGCACTCAATTGAAAATAACTAGGAATAATGAAAAGCAAGACTTAAACAGAATTGAAATAGAAACAGAGCTACAGTTCAACCAGGTAATGGAGTTTAAAACATAGACTTTAAAATAACTCTGCATATTATACTTAAGAAGATGGAAAATTTAGGTGAACTGAAAACTATAAGAAAGGACAAAATAGACTAGAACTGAAAAATGTAATAAATTAAGTATTCGATGATGGATTAAATAGCGAGTTAGACACAGCTGAAGAGAGAATTGATCAACTAGATGATAGCCTAGAAGAAAATATCCAGACTAAAACATGGGAGGAGGGAGATGAAAAAGGAAAGAGCATGAGATGCATATTAGAACATTCCACTTTATCCTGTAAGTGGAACTGAAGTCCCACAAGGAGAGGAAAGAAATTAGGCCTATATGACTTTGAGCAAGCTATTTATACTCTCAGCTTCAGTTTGTTTTTTCATAAATGGAGGTGTAATAATAATCTACCTATAGGGTCATTGTGTGGATTAAATGAGGTGACATTTAAAGCACTCGGCCCAATACTTTGCACATGGTAAGGACAATAGGTGGGAACTACAGCATGTTATCATCATCATCAACATTAGAATGTCAAGGAGAAGAGTATGAAGAACAAAGTTATGTGAGTCAGACAGATACTAAAGAGCCCTTAGAGATTTTGTGTGACCTATTTTTGCTGTAGGAAACATCTTGCAAAAAAAAAACTCTCGGGATTTAGGAGATTAACAAGAGCAGTTTGTAAGAAAACCAACTTCTTGGTAATCTCTGAGGTATGTATTTGCATCACAAGGTGAGGGGTTGTGGTGTGTGCGTGTGTGTTGTGTGTGTGTGTGTGTGTGTGTATGGGAGATAGAAACAGCTGTAGACAAAGACAGAGAGGCTGGCTGATTGCTTGTTTTTGGAAGAGGCATCCTCATTGTTGAAGGTTCATGTCAAAGCCCTGCCAAGATGCTCGAATTCCTACAGCAGGTCCAAGTGTCTGCTTGCGTATGAATCCGCTTAAGAGAGGGAAAGGAGTGAAGGAAATGATTTCAGGACTCGAACAGTAATTAGAACAGCAGTGTGCTAATTAAGGTTCATAAATTTAATGAAACTATTAGCATTTTCTCTT